ACAAAACAAAATTATCAATAAGTGTGGTGGAGGTATTATAATTCCTGGAAATTCTACAGAATATATTGATTTTTTACCAAATATTATAAATGACACAAGAAGAATTTTATATAACATTACCAAGTAATGTTAAAAACATTGGTGATAATGAAAATACAATGTCAGATTTTACTACATTTTTAAAAGATACACAAACTTTTAAAAAAGAAGAAAAGTGGAAAGTTTCTATAGCTGAAATAAGCTATACAAAATCTTGGTATAATAGTTCACAAAATTTGGAAGTTAAATTATGCAACGAAAAAGGTGTTATTATATCAGTTCATGAAATATTTAGATCTTTGAAACAAAATATGAATCAAATCAAAGAAATAAAATATAATACTACAATAGGTGAATTCGATGCAGTTGAAGAACCTAAAATAATAATTCATAAAGGATACTATGAAAACCCTGAATTATTTATAAATGAAATAAATAAAAAAATGCATAACGCGTTGCATAATGTTGCTTTGACATATCCATATATAAAGTTTAATGAATACACTCAAAGAGTTGAAATTAAATCTGGTATATTATATACATTAAGAAAAGATACACAAAGAGAATATTTACAATATTTCCCTGTATTTGGCAAAGAAATAGAAGAGATGCTTGGATTAATCTATAATGATGACAGTATGGGAGAGATATCTTTTCATAAATTTTTATATAATCATGATAACATTTTCTTTTATTCAAATTATATACATTGTTTAGAAAATATTGCTACGAACGATGAATATCCTTACAAAAAGTATACAGCACACAGATGTGTTCAACTTAATGCTGGACTCCACTCGTTATTTGTGTATTGTGATATAGTTGATCATAATTTAGTTGGTGATGCGTCTGCGCAATTGCTACGAGTTGTAGAAATACCTCATAGTTATAAATTTGGAGAACAAATTAATATAATTTACAACAGTTTGCATTTTGTACCGTTAGTAAATAACACTTTTAAAGAAATTAAAATTAACATTAAAGACGACACAGGCAAAGATTTTCCTTTTGAATTTGGTAGAGTTATAATCAAACTTTGTTTTAAAAAATATGGATAATCCATACATTCTATATTATACAAATCAAGCCGGTAGTGGCTTAAGTGGATTTGAAGGATATCAATATCAAAGAGGTCACGGATTTTTTGGAGATTTATGGAACAAAGCTATTAAGCCATTAGGAAGATATTTAGGAAAGCACCTACTTGGTATTGGTGCTGATGTTAGTAGAGAGGTAATTGAGGGAAAAAGCTTTGGGGAGTCAGCTAAAAAAAGATTATTAGAAACTGGTGCTACTATTTTAACCGATGGTGCTGAAAAAGCTAGATCTTATGCACAATCTGGTTCAGGTAGACGTAGACGCAGACGTAGAGGACCAACTAAAAAAGTAGAAGTTAAAACAAAAAGACGAAAAAGCACTAGAAAAGTAAAATCTAGAAAAATTAAATCAGTTAAAAAAAGACATTCAAAGAAGAAAGATCAACTATTTAATTTTTAAAAAATGGCTGCAATACATAAATTATCAAGTATTACAGCATTGAGTGAATTTGACATTTTTGGAGTTCCTGCAACTCAAAATACTATAGAAAAAGATATTTTAACAGAACATAGACCAGCATCAGCAATTGATTCTAAAGCTTATATTGAATTTAATTTATCAACTGGAATTGACGAATATCTTAGACTTGATAAAACATATTTATATATTAAACTGCAAATTAATATTGAAAAAGTTTTAAAAGCTACTGTTGTTGCTGCTGATTGGGAAAAAGTTTCACCTGTTAATAATTTATTTAATTCTTTATTTAAACAAATAAATTTGATGATTGGAGATAGAATTGTAACATTATCTCATCAAACATATCCTTATAAATCCGATTTAGAAATAAAATTAGGAAAAAATAAAGAAGCAAAAGATTCGTATTTATCATCAATTTTATGGATAGAAGATAATTTGGACGACTTAGAAGGAATTAACTTAAATAGAACTAATTACATTAAGCCATTAACAGGTGAAACTGATTTATCAAAAGGTCGAGAATTAGATTTAATCGGTAAGTTACATATTCCTATGTTTGAACAAAGCAAAGCATTACTAGGTGGGTGTAATATTTCGTTAAAATTAATACCCAATTCCCCATCATTTTATATGATGTGTGACAGTAGTATCAGAATATCTAATGTCGAATTTAAAGATGCCTCTTTATACATTCATCGGTCAAAAATCAATCCTGCCGTTGTCGAAGGTCATAAGATGGCATTATTAAAACCAGCAAATGTAAGATATCCAATTAGAGAAAGTTTTGTTGTTCCTATTACAATAAATAAAGGAACTATGGATACTATCATTGATAATGTACACAATGGCCAATTACCTAGAAGAGCATTCGTTACAATGGTTGATCATAGTGCATTTAATGGCTCTGAAATAAAAAATCCTTATAATTATAAAAACTACAATCTAAATTATTTGGCGTTCTATTTAAACGGTATACAGTATCCAGAAAAAGCATTTACACCTGATTTTGATAAAAATCTTTATGTACGAGAATATATAAGTTTATTTGAAGCTACCAATCAGGACAATGTTGACAGTTGTATAACTTTAAGAAGACAAGACTTCCCAAAAGGAAACAATATATTCGCTGTAAATTTTAACCCAGATTTGTCTTCAGGTTGCTGTGCAACAGGTTATGTTAATCCAATTAAACACGGTAATCTAAGATTACAACTAAGATTCAAAGAACCTTTAGCAAACGCTATAACGGTTTTAGTATATTTGGATTATGACGCATTACTTGAGATCGATTACGATAGAAACCCTATTTATACATTTAATTAATGGATACACTAACAATAAAAAAATTATTAAAAACATTTAGTTGTTTTAAAGGAGTCTATAGCTCAGATAATATACCAAATTTTGACAAATTACCTATAAACATTATCGTTAACACTGATCCATCTTATAAACCAGGAGAACATTGGGTATCAATTTCAATAAACAAAGATGGTTTTGGAGAATATTTTGACTCATTTGGATTACCTCCGCTAAAAGAAGACATATTTAATTATTTAGAAACTCAATGCAGACTTGGTTGGACTTATAATAAAGTTACTCTACAAAATATTAAATCTACCACTTGTGGACATTATTGTGTTTTGTATATTATTTTTCGGTGTCAAAATTTATCGACTCGCGCATACGTCTCAAAATTTAGCAGAAACACTTTAGAAAACGATAAACTTATGAGAGAAATATTCAGCAACTTTACGTTAGCTAAGAAACATTAAATATAAAATGGATTCAAATAAAATTAATAAAATCTGTGTAATTATGGATATGCAAGGTTTCATGATTAGAAGTAATTTTTATCCGAGAGAACTTGCAATTGTTAATAATAAAATAAAGGCCTCATATGAAATTGAATGTAATATAAAAAAACAAGAAAAACAGAAATTTTGGAAATCATTACTTTATCAAACAAAAAATATTCATGGAATTACACTAAATAACAGTTTACCAAAGTATTATTACCGTACAATAAAATATGACAATTTGGAAAAATTTCTAAAATCGACATATTTTTATTTAAAAACAGATGACAAACCTTATATAGGTGTAAAAAATCCTCAACTATTATATATCTTAGAAAATTTAGAAATTCCCTGTGTTGACTTATCTCCTGTTGATTCATCTCAAGAAATATGTCCGCCGTTACATTTATTTGACAAATTAATAACATCGAATCAATATTGTTATTTACATGGATTTATAAATAAGGATAAAACTTCAAAATTAATGAGATGTGCTTTAAGAAAAAGTTGTTTTATATGGGATTATTTACAACAAAAAATATTAGCTGAAAATTTATTAAATATGACTTTAGTAGATGACAAATGTAAAGCAACAAAAAAGGTTACATTTGCGTCTGCTCATACTTTATTATAAATACAAAACGTTACATACAAATAATTATTATTTTTACTTAGGTCTAACAAACAACAACACATAAACATTATTTGCAATGGATAAACAAATTTTTGAAACTATTTTTTCAGCAAATTTGTCAGAATCTGACAAATATGCAAAAAAAGTTTTGAGTTTAAAACGTAAGATTAGTGATCCTGAATTTCTTTTGGTTGACATTAGAGGTTCATATAAAAATCTACCATCAAGACAAGGCATTTGTTTAACTGCTTTTGAATTTGATTGGTTAGCACGGTCATTGGCATTTTCAGGACAGATAAACGACACTGATAATCGTATACTTAAGAGTAAAAAATCTGCACGTGAGTTAATTATAAAGCAATCATCATCGGCAAACAACTTTGTTATAAAGCAAAACGTTAATGATCAAGGAAGGCATATTACTTTACACAAACATGAAATAACTGTTTTGTTGGAAAAATATGGTTGTTTTTTTGATTTAATTGAAAAAATGGAATCTGGAGAAAATGATAATCACATCTGTATCAACGAATACAAAATTGGACATTGCGCGCCTTTTGAAGTTTCGAAACAACCTAATTGATTTTTATTTTATTTTTTAATGTTTATTTTTTTATTTTTTTAATTTTTAATTTTTTAATCATTATAATTTTTAGTTTTTAATTATTTTATTTAATCATTATAATATTTAGTTTTTAATTATTTTATTTTATTTAATCATAATTTTTAATTATTTTAACATGTAATCATTTTTATATATATTTCAATAAATTATTTTTAAAAAATCAATTACAGTTAGAGGATGGGATAAGTTCTGCATCTTAGGTAATTAACATATGTTAATTATGATTATGCAAGACATATCTCATTGTCTAACTTCAACATAAAATTTAAAAAATAAACGCCAGAAAAAGCATAGTCCAAAACACAAGTAAGCGTAGTAAATGAAGTGGTATTTTATTTACGTATGGAGGCTTGACCTTGAACTCCATATACTAAAAAAACCATGACTACGTATACTTCGCTGTGATTGGTCTAAGCTTTTTCTGGCGTGTAACTACTATCATTATAAAATCATTAATTGATATCTTTGTTTATCTTAATGTATACAATAATAATAGTCTAATTAATTAATAATTACTAAAATTATGTTTTGCGTGAAAAGGATGTATTGGGCCTTCACTTGATGGGCGGCGTCTTATCTCTTGATTGTTGAGTTGAGGTTTTGATTGAAACCAAACCCCGAAACTACCGCCGGGTTTACAACTTTCATTCACTTCCTTTGATTTTTCTGACTCTTGTGATAGTCGTCTCTGAAGTTGATATTTGGCCACATTATCGTCATAAATGGCTATTTAATGATACAAATTATATATAATTTTTAAAATATATATTTAGAAAACTAATAATAAAAAATTGAGTTAAAGTAAATTTTTTTCACATGACTTACGTTTTGGAGAATTTTTAAGCATTGCTCGGTAGACATCACTACGCGGTCTGACCTCAAGTGTTGTATTATATTTTGCTTCTCCGATTGAGTTCATAGCCCTGACCTCAACGATTCCACTCTCAGACTCACTAGTCTTAGGTATTTCCAACTGATGGATGCCGTCATTCTTGATCTTATATTTGCTGCCATTAACCGCTTGAATATCATTGATATACCATCTGACCAATGGTTTTGGATTACCAATCAAACGACAAGAAAACTTTGCATTTTCCCCCTCCGCCACCTCCAGGGGCTCGGGTTTGAGCACAAACACTGGGGCCAAATCTCCTTCTGTGTAACCGTCGACTCTAATTATTATAAAAATATAGTTATTTCATACAAACAATAGTTATTCAATAATGATTTAACTAATAATATTAAAATAAAATAAAATATATACAAAATTATATAACAAATAATAATATTAATAATACATACGTTTGGTAGGAATCCATCGCTTCTTACAATAATAAGACACAACCTATTTGTGCACTTTATATATAAATTCAGTCAAAACTGATTTTGTGAACGCTTTCAATGTTTAGTTTTATTGGAGGAGTAAAGACCTAAACATTTGTTTATGACTAACAGTATTGTTGAGAAACCAGAATATTCTCAAACATTTATTTTAGTATTTATTTATAGATTTCTTAAAATGTTTTTCTCTACAGTTTATTCTTGATTTTCTATACCATTAAAAACATAACTAAAATAGCGAAAGCATTACATATTAATGCATAACATATAATTTTTTTGTAGTTTATTTTAAATTATGTGATTTTAATACAATTATACAAAATTTCTAAATGAATAAAAAAAATTTATTATTATTGTTACCCAATATTAGTTGTATTTTAAGAGTAGTGTAATTGTATGTTTGACACCATTATAAATATTATTTTATAAGATAACACTCTATTTTTATTTGGATTACAAAATAAACTAAAAAATAAGTAAATAATGCATATTATGTGAAAATAAAAAATATTTTAATACAATTATTTGTTTTAAAAATTTTGATTCAAAATCTATTTTAAATAATTTCAAATATATTATATTATTAATGGTGTTTACAAATAAAGTACTAATTATTGTTAACTTATTTTCAAAAAACAAATGGTTAAAATATAAGACAATAATCGTTTGAATAATGCAATTATTGTTGGATAAGTTGTTGACTAAATAATGTATTATTTATTATTTAGAAGATAAACAAATGCATACAAAGCCAACAAATATTTTCTAAATAATTCATTAAGAGTTTAAATTAGATAAACTTTTTAAGTATAATTAAAAATTATTAGTTTGGTTAAAAAGGCTATCAAAACTTTAAACTATATTCAAATAATTAATTTATTGTTTAAATCAAATAAAATTATGTTTAATAACCTCTTTAGTATATAATGATTATAATAATTTCAAATTAATGTAAGATTTGTTTTAAAAATTTTATTATATTTTATATATTAAAATATATTAAGTTATTAATTTACATTTTTAATGAATATAATATTAATAGAATAATAAAAATATAATTATTTATTTAGATAAATATATTAAATATTTATTGTGATTATAATTAATCATATATATATATATTTTTATCAAAATTTAATAAAGATTGATTTTGTATGAAAAATCAAATACATAAAAATAATTATGACAAATAATTTAATAATATATTAACTCAAATAAATTAAAAACAATTAAATAAATTGATCTTTTGAACTCAAATTGATTAAAACAAGATAAAATATCATAACTATAATTTAATTAAATTATATAAATCACATGTTGAGTGCTATAATAGACAAATCATATACCTTTATAAATAATAAATAGATAGTTTAATAATCGATTAATAATTATATCATATCTTATTAAATAATTGATTAATAAACCAAATAAAAAATTATAAAATAAACTTTTAAAATGTAACAAATAGCTTAATAAAATAAAAACCATTAATTGACCGAAAATACACATTATATTATTTAGTTTGATATTTTTGAAGATAATTAGACGGAACGTAACCTGTATTACCCTCTTTATCGGCCACAAACCACCACTGGTTATTGCCATTGAGATCCCGATCCTTAAGTAATATAACCGATTGACCGAATTCTAGGCTCAATTGATTGTCTCCATTTGCTCTAAAAGGATAGGCAGCAAAATACATGTCATTTGGTTGTTGTTGTGGTGGTAGTGGTGCTGAAGATTTAGTATTCATTTTGTTATTACAGTCATCAGAAACAACATCGTATCGGTGCTCAATAGTTGCTAAAATATATTATATGTAATAAATTTAATATTGTTGTCATTACTGATTAACTGACAAAAAATATTTAAAAACAAATGACAAACCACAAGGAATGGATGGAATGGAAGATGATTCTGCTCGACCTACCGGTGCGTACGGATCAAATTCACCTAAATTAAGAATCTCTTGACTTTTAAGCTGCTGTTTCTCATCTAAACTTGTTTCAAATGTCATAAGACTAGCGCTCGTATTAGACATATCGAGACGGCTATAACGTGGAGGTGAGTCATCCACTTCTACATAGCGATGCGTTTCTGTCTCGTGTCTCAATTGGACGGATGGATCAGGTGATGGAAACACTTTGTATTGATGTTGTATTAATGGTGAGGTTGTGTTATTTGAACTATGCATTGAAGTTTGTGTCATCAACTTTTCACTCTAAAATCAGACAAAAAATTAAAATCAAATAAATTAATTGATTTTTAAGAATTTAAATACCTTTTCTGGTTTTTCATATGTTGTCTGTGATCTAACATTAGTGTTGTTTAGAGTCGAAACCCATGGATTAGAGTGTATGGCTAATACATCAGACAACACGAATCCCTTAGCATTGCCGGTATCGACAAACCATTTGTGATGATTACCCATTGGGTGCTGTTGTTTAATAACACCAACCAAATCGCCTTTATTTAAGTAAATATCTAACACATCAGTCGCTTCGTATGGTTTGATCGCTTCGTATAATTGATGAGATATATAGCGAGATTGAAGGTATGCGCGTTGAGAAGCAGATTGTTGGACCTGTCATTTATAATCATTTATAATTTTAATCAATGTTTTAGAAAATATATTTACTTAAATCATACATTTTTATTCATATTATGATTAACACCGACAGTGTTGGCCACCGAGAGATTAATGTTTGTCATTTGTGAACTGCGTTTTGAGTGTCTTTTGGTGTCAGACTGATTCATACCTCCCGAAGCAACGTTTGGAAATACATTGGCCGCAAGTATTGAGATTTCGTCCAATAGCTGTTCGGTAATCAAATTATGTTTGATCTGAAACGTATCATTTATATCATCAGTGGATCCGCTCTTGAAGCTCATCACTGACGGTAACTCCAAAAGTATCAAATGATGTTTAGCTATACGTCCGATAAGCTGTTTACGAGCCAAAAGAAATGATTGAATGCAGTCCTGAAACATTTGCATCAATAGTTCACAAAGTTTGGGTAACTCCTCCAGTAATTGTGTGTTTATGGCTTCGTAAACATTTTTAGCCATTAGTTGCTGATCTTGGATTGTCTTAAGACGTGACATATCTTTATTACACTCGAGTTTTTTTGAAAGTGAATCAAAATCTGTCATTTTATCGTATCTCTTGTTTATTAGTTTATTTGGTCCTAAAATAATAAAAATAACGTTTAATACAATATTATTTCAGTTATTCATTATTTATATTGAAAAAAACCTGAAAACTTTTGTAACAATTTGTCTAATACTGGCGTTACATCTCTATCTACTGTATCATTAAATAGTGTCAAGTATTGAGTAACAATCATGCGATGAGTTGTTCTCAATTGTTCCACTTCTTGTTGTCGATTTCTCTTATCGTAATACTCGCCAATAGCCTCAACAACAGCTAATCCTTGATGACAAAAGTCTTCAACAGACTTCATAAATGCCTGTTTGTCTTTAATAAATATCTTAATAGTCTTCTCTAAGGTTCTAAACTTATGGACCGCATGATTAAACTCGTCGTCCTTTTAATACAACAATTCAATTAACAATATTTTTATTTAAATATTATTAAAATATTAATACCTTAGTAGTTGATGAAAGACCTAAAGTAGATGTTATTCTGTGTCCTAAACGTGAGCTCTTTTTCATAACGGTATGAAAATTAAATTTCAACAATTTATGCGACAATTTGTTATTTGATTCACATCTATATTTGTGAACCAAATCCTGTCGGCGTTTAAATTCATTGATATGTGTCGCCATATCTGTGATCCTGTCGATGGCAAGAATCAAATCGGGTTTATCCTGATGTCCATCTTCAGTACATTTGTGTAATTCGTTTAATAAAAGAGGATATTTGAGTATTCTTTGAACAGGTTTTATAAGAACTGATGGAATATCAAAACAATTGGTTCGTTCTTTCATAATATCGAAACCATGCATTAGATATTGTCGAGCATCAGGTATGGACTCATATCGTCTATATAATGGTAGCATTTGGTCGTGATTTCTACAATATTGACTGTACGTTGTCTTCATTTGGTCCAACACATCAAGAAAACATTTGCCAACCATTTGATGTTCGTATTTCTTCATTTGAGTTGATTCTTCAAGACGTTGTATTAATAGAGACGAGACTTCAATAATATCTCTTAGATTACCAAACAGTTTCTGTAAATCAATGCCACAATTGCGCGCTTCTTCAGGATTTGTGAGAAATATATCGGCGCACACCTCAAGACTTTGTCGATAATCTCTTTCTGTTTGCAATAACTCCATTATAACACAACTTCTCTGTTCTCTAACCTAATAAATAAATAGAAATAATGAATGTTTTGATAAATATATAAAAATTAATATTAAAACAAACTTTTTTCTTTCTCTCGTCAACTCTTTGTTGGTCTTCAGCAGTCATTTGAGTTTTAGTTACACCGAAAGCACTGTCAGAATGAGTAGAACCCGAACTCGAATTCGATGCAATACTTGCTCTAATCGAGTCATTCCTATTCATATGAATCCTATCAATACTATCATTACTTGCATGTAATTTAAGTGGTATTTTATGTCTAGGAACGGGAGGTGGCGGTCGTTGAGGTGATACTTGGTTTTCATTTAATTTGGGAACTGGTGGTGCAGATCTTCGTGGTTCTTTTGGTGACATTTTTGGTAAAACAATGGGCTCTTTAATCGATAAATTTAACATTTTATTATCAGAATTATCAACATTTTGTTGATTATCATTATTAACTATTGTTGGTTCAAATTCTTGGTTAATCATAGGTGTAATCACTGGTTCAATATCTTTAATCACCGGAATTGAGTTCACTTGTAAATGATTTTCATTAATTAAGTCATTTGTTGTATTTATAGCTAATTTGTTTTCATCCACTTTATGTGCCAATGAATTCAATGATTGATAGGACGGGATGTCTTCAATTATCTCACAATAATTATATGGCACGAGTCCTATGTTCTCTAAATCGTCCATAACTTCATACCAATTAGTGTCCATTTTTCTTAGTAATGTCAAAGTGTCGCCTTCACTCACCTAATAATCAATTAAAAAATTAATTAAATTTATTCATTATTCTATCATTAAATAAGTTATACCTTGAGATCGCCTTCGAATTCACCGTTAAAATCATATAAAACTCGTGCAAATGTATCGCTTGGAAAACTTTCAATAATACTGTTGTTTTGATTTGAAATACTATTGGTATCACAATCGACAATAATTTCGATATAACTTTTAGGAAATATACCGACTTTACCATCAATTTCGCCTTCAATCCACTCATTATCAATATGTCGGATCAAATGAACGATTTCGTTCACTTTAAGACTCAATTCATTGGGAAATTCGGCCCGAAATGGAAATAATGTCCGACCGTATGACTGGACATCACCGACGTATCCATTGGAGTAGCCGTGAAACTGGGGTTGACTTGACATTAGTTGGTCCTCGCAATACACCATCGAATTTATTACGTTTTCATAAGACGGTGGGTTCTCTTCATTAGCACTACTGTCGATGACTTCGGTTTCAAACATCTGAGTGTCGGTATTATTGGTCACTAACTCGTCGCCACACATATTGTTTTCGTCTAAAAACAACAAATATTTAACACAAATTTATAAAAATTACTTTTACCGATAATAATAATTATTTGATATATATATATACATATGTGACAAACTTTGATCACATTATATGAGATAATGAATACAATTTGTATTAATATTTTTGTAAATTGATATTTAATAATAGATTGCAAATCATAAGTTATTATTGTATTACTATCATAATAAATATTATCATTTTACTTTAGCATAAGTATGTTAGACAACTAAACATTTATCAAACATTTTAAATATTTATATAAATTTACAGTATATACCGGTATATTAATTATAACTAATATTGCAAAAATCAAACATGAAATTCAATTTTTATAAGTTTAACATACATTAACATAGTGTATAAATTTAATAAACAAATCATTAGAGTCATTACGATTTGTAATTACAATCTGTTATAAGGAAAATTGAAAAAATAATTACAGTGTTATGAAAATTACTATACGTATAGAGTTTAATAGAAAAATGAAGTATAATATCTAAATTAAATAATAAACATATTTTAAAATAACTGATATATAACTGTTACCATTTGTTGGCTGATAATTGTCTAAAATTTTAACAAAATTTTTTGGAAAAATGCCTTCGCGTTGTCCATTCAATGAGTGTCCGCTGTAATACATTTTATCGTATGTATCGGTGATAACCATTATTTCGTCTTTATATAAATCAATTTCATTGTCCAGTTGTGAGTGCATCTCAATCACTACTTTTGCGTACATTTTTCTATCATTATTATAATTTTCATCACTCGGTTTAATTTTTTTCGGCAAATATTTATTGTCTAATTGCCAGACATGTGTCAATGGAAATATGCCAATCAAATTGGGGTTTGCCATGACATACCCGTTCCACCAGTTCTCATCTACCGGTTCCAAGCCTACAGTGTTTTATTAGTTATAAAAACAATTTTTTAGATACAATAACTAATAGCATATATCATAAATATGTATTATCTAATGCAATAAAATCTCACATTTAATTAGACAATATAAAAGTGCTAATCATTATATGTTTAATTAGGAATGTGTTATCATTTTGTGACATAAATCACTTAAATCACAACAAAAAATTTCTGCATATTATAATTAATGTAATTTGCATTTTCAGTAAAAACTAATTTAGCAAATAAATAAATAAATTAATTATATATATATATATTATAAATATAATTTTATTTTATAATATTATAAATAAGAAAAAAGTGAAAATGAATGCACTAAACAAACTATAAATCATAAAAATAATCTAAAGTTTGATAACTTTAACGAAACTATAAGAGTGTGAAAATAATATTATCAGTAAAACGATATCTTATAGTTCAATAAAAATATATTATCAATGTCTTTGTTTTAATGTATCAATTTTTAATGATAAAGAAATCTATAATTAAACATAAATCCAAAATAATTTGTAATTTAAATACTACACTAAATTAACAAAATTAATGCACAAAATATTTAACGTACTGTAATAAATTTTAAAAAACTATTATTAGATTATATTTCCTAAAATATAAATTTTACATTTTTCAATAAATAACTTTTTGTATTTTTCTAACAAAATAAAAATAATTCAAAATATGAGGTCATCTTCGATCAGATGCCGACACATATAACATATATAATACACATTTAGTGCTCTATTTATCTTATAGTATATGTCATCATAAATATAAAATAGTTTCTCAAAAATAAAAATGAATTTTAAATATTTTCTATAATATATCATAAAACCCTATTTTATCAATAAATACTAAATATTATAATGTAATGCATTGGCAATAATTGTTAATTTTATAAGATATTTAACCAATATTTAAAAAATATACTACTTTTAAATTAAAAAAAAATAATATACATGTATACAGTAGCTCAATATTATAATATACTACAATATATGTTATAAAAAATTAATTTTAATACATCAATAAACTAATGTAATTAATTAATTGTAAATTAATGTAAGTAATTTTACTAATGAAATAAAAGATAATTGTTTTGAAACAAAATATGTTTTAATATTAATATATAGAAACAAATTAATAATAAAAATAACTTTCAATAAATTAAAAACTATAATAATTAATAATAATTATAAAATATTTTTAATTTCACTTATAATTGATATCACGATTCACCCGAAAGTCATGTCTTTAAGCGGACAGATATCTGGACACCAATACAAGTGTCGCACATTCAGCGCTTATATAACTGTTTTTGTCTACTTTTTGGATATTTTGACAGGATTTACAATATTACAGTATATGTAATGTTTATATAAATAATATATATTACAATTTAATTGCAATATTAATATAAATTTTTAATTGATTCAAAATAAAAATAATATGATATAAATATAAATATAATGTAAATTATAAATATGATATACAATATTTCAAATATGATAAATGATATCAATTTTAAGTGAAATAAATTTATACTAAGTTTAGATGTAATATAATATTATATATCAATAATAAAACGATTGTATAATTAATTTATAAACTGATAATCAATTGATTGAATCAAATGACGAGTTAATGACTAACCGATAATAAGGTCTCCGCGAGTGAACCGCAGGTCGCCGTCCACACACTCGTGTATAAAGTCATTGTTGGCCGCAAACAATGACCGCTGATCTTCGGAACCGTTAGGATAGAGAGAGTTCAAATCAATGGTCAATTGGCGACAATTAGCTGTCGGGATGCGTCCCGAGTGGCTATTGGTGTGTCCATAGAGCCAATACTTGTCGACTTTAGTCTCGACTTCAATGATATCCCCGACCCGTGCGGCCAATTCATCTGCAAACTCGGTGTCGAAATGTCGGATCACCTGAGCTATGAAGGGTTGGTTGTGATCACTGTTATTGGTATTCATTGTGTGACCCGTTGTTTGGCAGTCATGACCCACACGTTGTGGTCACCAATGCTTGTCATCACTCAGTCATACGTCAAGTGTTGTGTCCATCGAGTCATTGATTGAGTCATTCATTGATTACATTATTTTACCTCAACTTATGTTAACTTATTTGACGTTACCTTACATTACATTATGTTTTCTATTCAATGACAACAACTGTTGTTTGTGTTGTCAAACGTATAACTGTATAACAAGTGCTGCCATCATATAAACCAAACAAACTTTTTGATTAACTTTTATACACTTTATTAATATCATAGTTATTTGAGGCTTTAAATTTAAATTTAAAATTATCAAATTATTTATTTATATTTTTATAATTATTATCCATTACAAACAAACACACAAAATACTGTATAATCATAATTGTATTTTGAATTACTATCTAAATTAATACTGTATTATCAAATTAATATAATTATAAAAATTTTAATCAATATTTTGTTTAATTGAAGACAACAAATATCATTATACAATATAAAAATTAAAAATATTCAATAATTATTATAAACTTACAGTAAATGACTACTGTATATTAAAGTATATTATTATTAACATTTATATTTTTTGTAAAATTGAAATTAATTAAAAACATTTTTAAGAAAAAGTGATAAATGCCATTTGGATAAAATGATTATAATTAATGTCATTTATTAGATAAGTTATATCTACTTATTTATATAAAAACTTAGATCAATCGGATTTAAAAGAAAAAAATTATTAAATTAAATTTGTTTATAATGGAAAGTATAGGGAAAAATGCAAACTTTGACCCCCGAAAAAACACCCGTCCCTCTAATCAATTAATATGATTTTTTGATGATATATAGGCAACCTATAGATGTTTTTAGTGAAGTATGAAAATGCCAATCGAAAGTAAATATAAATTTTAATTTATATATATTAAAGTAGTTTTATTTATTACTAAAATTTAAAAAAAAATCACAAAAATTGTTTATTAAGACACAAATTATGTGCATTTTAATTACAATTAGAAAAATAAAATAAAATAGTATTATTGTTAATTTTTATAAATATAAATTGAATTTTTAAATATTATAAATTGATTACCTTACTGTACTTTAGCAACAATTGTATAAAAATTATTAAAGTAAAATAAACTTGATGTTTGATATAAACATTGAATTGGAAACAAAAATGTACATGTCTATTTTTTATATTTATCGACATAACAAATATATTGTTTTAAAAATGCAATTAATCTGTTATAATATATAGTATATACTGTATATCAGTGTTAGCAGAGACAAAATATTTGTATAATACACTGTAAATACATGACAAATTTGACTTTAAAAAAGTAATAAAAGCATTGATATAAGCAAAGTAAATCATGTTTTATAATAAATATAGATTTAATATTATTTTTTATTGAATTTCATTTTTTATTTTAAATTATTTGATTATTATAACTTTTAGAACGACGATAATAATAATAATAATGAATTTCTAGCAATTATAGTTTTACTAAATATTTTTAAATAATTTTTAACAATATACAGTATATTAGTTTTAAAACTTGTATAATACTGTACATTAATATTCTATTTTATTGTATAATACAAAGTCAAAATTCAAAACCTTGTATTTTTCCAACACTGGTTTATATTGTATATATAATACCGTCAAATGTCATATTAAAACCTAAATACTGTACTATTAAATTGCAGAAATTATTAAATATTACTGTATTATGAAAAATAAAAGATTTATAATCAATATAAATGAATGCATTAATTACTCATGTTTTACAAATAATAATAATAAAATTATATTAATATATTACTTGTATAAATGCAAGTAAATAAAACTTAAATTTTCTAATTTTTAATTTATGTTTGATTGCATTGAAGTGAAAAGTTGAAAGTATCCGATAACTCTAATTTATAAACAGTTTGTCAAATTAATGATATTTTATAAAATTATTGATTGACATTTATTAATAAATATCAATTATCGAAAAATTATTTTTTTATTTTATGACATGTTATAAACATTTTATAAACACTTATTGATTTATTAAAAATTAATTGAGTTTATGTTATAATTAATTGATTTATGATTAGTTATACTGGTATTACAGTTAACACTGTAACCTAAAGTTTGATAAAAAGGATACCATGCATTGCATTATCTAAATTTATAACAAATCATAAGTTTGTGATTATTTCAATAAAAATACAATTTTCAATAACAACTAAAAGTAATAATGAGAAAGTTAATGATGAGAATCTAAGCAATATGTTATTTTCAATTAAGGCACACAATTTGATAGTATTTTCAACACAATGGGACACTACTTATCCAAATACTGTATTTACCAATACTTATATATAGCACTTATTAAGCAATTTATTAGAGAAAAAATGATAATAAATTACAAAGAATTTTAAATTAAATTTTGTACTAATTTTGTCATATGAATTGATAGACATCTTAAATGTCAAATTAATAATAAATTAAAAGGTATATAAAATGAATGTCACCTATTAATAGTTAATATATAAAATCTTGTTTTATTAGCTAATAATAGTTACATTTAGTTAATTTGTGTGATTATGAAGTTTTTAATATTATTGTCTTTACTCTATATTAGTTGTAATGCTTTCCCAAAGCTGCACAACATTAACGAGTTTAACGGAACCAATTGGGTTGTATTAACTGCCGGTTCTAATAGTTGGAGCAATTATAGACATCAGGTATTTTTTACCTCTCTTTTCAATTTATCAAATATTTTAACTCATTTGCTATATTAAGGCTGATGTATATCATGCCTACCAAGTTGTTAGGTCTCATGGAATTCCCGATGAAAATATCATTGTTTTCCATTACGACGATATCGCACACAACAAAGTCAACCCAACGCCTGGTATTGTCATTAACAGACCCGAAGGCTCTGATGTATATAAAGGTGTTCCTAAAGATTATACGGGAGAGGAGGTCACACCTGAGGTAATTATTTGTCTATTTGTCTATTTTTTTATTTAAATAGATTTAAGATTAGAAAATCATTTATTTCAAACAATAGAAAACATTATAGGATTTAAGTATAAATCATTGTTATATATAATTAACAATTACTATATAAGTTAGAAATGTTTATAAATTATATCATAATTTTAAATATTTAATAACATTTCAGTGTTTTAATCCTATGCTAACTAGAAATTTTTAATTAAAAATTTCAAAAAACAATCATAAGTTTATAATCTGATTTATAATAGATATATGTTTACTGTAGATGACCATTAACTATTGACTATTAACTATTAACTATTATATTTGTTAAAATATTATTTACTATATTTGCTAATTCAATACAATAGTATAAACTAAAACTTTTTAATAAACTTTTCAGAATTTCTTAAAAGTGTTGAGCGGTGACAAAGAATTGGCAGCTTTGGGTAAAAAAGTAGTCAATAGTGGACCTAATGATCATATATTTGTTTTCTTTGACGACCATGGTGCTCCAGGTCAGTTATATTTATTATTATAAATTTTTAATAATTTATACTAAATTTTATGTATCTATAAAATAGACCTAGTTGCTTTTCCACATAAATACTTGTATGGAGAAGCATTAGCCAATACATTGAAGTCTATGCACGAAAATAAACGATACTCTAAACTTGTGTTTTACATTGAAGCGTGTGAATCGGGTATGTATTATAATATAATATATTGTATTACTTAATATTAATTAATTTGTAACAAAATTACTTTAATATTAAATTATTTTTATCATCTAAATTAGGATCAATGTTCAACAAATTGTTACCTAAAGATATCAATATTTATGCCACCACTGCTTCGTCACCAACTGAACCCAGTTATACAAAATATTGGTCCGAAAAATACGGGACAGCATTGGGTGATGAGTATAGTGTCGGTTGGATTCAAAACAGTGAGGAACACGACCTCTCAAAGTATACATTACAAGAACAATACGAATACACTAAGGCCTGGACTAAGATGTCACACGTCCAACAATATGGCGATCTCTCAATTGCACAGTTACCTGTCGGACAATTTCTTGGTTTGATTTGAAAATTACTAATTTTTATATTTTACTCTAAAATATATACTAATTGTACAAAAAAATAGGTCATAAAAAATCGTCAAAATTATCTCAATCGTCTATTGGTATGTCATGGGATCAAAGCAATAATAATGACGCACACGTTATGGCAGCTTTGAAAAGGTTTGGATAAAATTAAATTTATTTAATATTATTCTCAATTTTTATATTTATTATATACTAAACATATTTTATGTTTTAGTAATACTGAAGAGTTTGAACGTATAGTAAACGGCCGACAATTTTTTGATCAACATTTGACTGAATACCTGAATATAATTAATTATTTGCGAAACACTGATTCATATGATTTGCTTAATACTCGACTGGAACTCAACAATAGAGTCTGTTATCACAAATTTGTCGATACTTTGAATGACAACTGCCTTAACATCGCTCATGTAATTATATATTAGTTTATTTAGACGTTTAAACAATTATATTAATGACTAGTAATTAATTGATTATATATTTGTTATGATTTCCAGAATTCCTATGTATTGAGTAAACTCTATACCTTTGTTAACATTTGCGAGGAATTTGATGAAAGAAGTAGTAGTGAAGCACTCAATCATTTGGTGCAATACTGTCAACAAAATCAACTCAACGCTTATCCAACAAATATTGTTTAATTGCATTACAATATATTATTTTATAATAAAAACTTAATTAGTTTAATAATTTAAATAATGTAAATAAACAAAATAATATAATTAAAATAAATGAATAAGTTTGCAAATTGTGTTTAAATTATTTATTTAAAACTATACCGGTAATATAAAAAGTATAAAGTATTAAATATATTGCTTAAATATCTGTAGACTTTGATAGACCTTGAATTATATGATAATTTTGAGTACATAAAATAGAGCAATAATTATTATACAAAACATATTGAATTAGCTGGAAATTAGTTTATATTATTTAAACTTATTATATTAGAATTATATAAATTAATTTTATATAATTTCATTTAATCTAATTTCATTTAAAGCATTTGTTCTAAAATTACAATCAATTTTATTTGAAGTAATCTTACTTTATTATAATACAGTTATTTATTACTTACTTAAGATAGTTACTACAGATTACATTTGAATAAATCAATAAATTATTTATCATTTAACAATCGATAGAAATAATATATAAAAAAATTTATAATGTTATTTGAATTAATATGAGTAAATAGATTAATTATATTAACAAATTCAATATAGATAATTTAAATAACGTAAATTTTTTATTTTTATCGCAGTTAACATATGCTATTTAATTTATTCATTAAATATATTTTTTCATGATATCATAGTATTACAGTTAGATAAGATTTTGTTTATTTAAATATTTTTAAGATTATTTTTTCATATTTTCCGGAAATTTCAATAAAGTTGTTTTTCTTATATTGATATTTAAAACATGTAATTTATAAAAGAATTACATTATAAATTTTTAAAATAATTTTCTAAGAATATTTGAGGAAATTAATAATAAAAACTTACCTCTTGAAAAATGTTAATTAACTTATTATATATTTTAATTAGGGTTAAGCAAGGTTTTGGATTTTAAGGGAATATAGGGCTGAGTAATATAGAAAAATCTTTGGGTAAATCCATTTATTGAACTTTTGAACAAATATTTTTAATTTTAAAAATCCAGTGGGGGTAAAAAAATCTTAATTAAATGGGAAGAAATTCCCAGTAAAATAGAAAAATATTCCCAATAAATTCCTAAAATTTTAGTTATATTTTCTTAAATTTATAAAAAAAAACTTTAATTTTGATTAAAATGATAAAAATAAAGATTAATTCTAAGTTCAAAATGCAAAAGTTAAAATTTTACAATATAATTTATCATTATTATCTTAAGTATCTTAAAATATTATTCTAATTGTAACATTATTATTTTTTAAGACAAATAAATATTTTTAAGTTTTTAGTTACATATTTTCATTAAAATAATGTTTTATTTAAATAAATATTTACTTAATACTAATTATTTTCTTCTTTCTGCTAATATTTAAACTCTACTAATTTTAAATTAATATGTATTATTTTATTTTTACTAAAATTTAAAAAAATATATTAAAATAAAATAGATACTGTATAATAATTATTATTTTAATTATCTTAAAATAATATTCTACTTGTAACATTATTACTTTATTAAAAAATAATTCATTTTTAAAGTTTTTAATCACATTAATTTCTATTATAATTTTATATAATTTATTAAAATAATGTTATTTTTGGCTTAATTTTAACGTACTTTAACTATTTACTAATAATTTTTATTAAATAATTTAATTTAAATATGTTATAAAAACAACACTTAATTTTTAATTATTAGTAAAAATTTTAATTTTTATAAATTGGATTTTTTACGCTTTTATGGGTTAGTTTTTCATTGTTTTTGAGACAATTTTTTCTATTTGGTTAAAAAGTTTTCAGAGGGGGTAAAATCTCAAAATCTTTGTCTAAGGGCGGTATTATTGTTTTACCCCTTCCCCTACCTCTTGCTTGATCCTAATAAAATATAATAATATTTTGTTGTCTCTAAAAATTAATTTTTATGTTATTATAAATTTAAAACAAAATTAAATTATTTAAAACAAATTTTGTTTTAAATAATTTTTTAATATATGGAATGTTTTACAAGAATAAAATATACAAAACATGTTTATATTTTCCATAGATTTTATTTTTAATTCTACAATATTATAGAATTATGATTTATATAATAATAATAATACTCTACTAATAAATATACATTATATTAAACAATTTGGAACATTAAATATATTTGGAATGAGCCTGGTGTATTACATATTTAGCCAGGAATAAATTTTAATTAAAAATTATTGGATTTGTCACAATAAAAATATACAGAAAAATAATTTTAAAAACTTTTAATATAAAATATTTTTATATTATAATTTATCAATCCTATTTTAAATTATTACAATGATATAAAATAATTTATAAATTAAATAATTTATGACTAGATATTATATATCAATATATTTATTTTTAGTTACATTACTTGAGGTTATAAATAAATATATTATGAGTAATTGATATCTTATCATTTTTGATTAATTAATTATAAATTTAAAACATTAAAATTATGAGAATTTTATATCAATGACTAAACTTTATTATGTATTTCTTAGACTATTCTAATATATATATGATTTAATATACTTGACTAGAAAATACTATATGTTTTGATTACCCGTCTCATTAACATAAGTATTAAGAAACATCATTGATATAAATTTTCAAATATACTAATATACGAATATATAATATACTGTATAATATTGGTTATTTGTTCATTGTTTTAATATATTATATATATTAAAAATGGTAATTTTATTAGGATTAGTGTGATAATTAGAAGATATATGAGCAGGGTCATATCTTATTTTGACTATTTGTGAATACATCTAACATGATAGGCTTGTTTGACTAAATAGTAATCATACAATTATGTGGCAAATTATCGCTCAGATAGTTAATTAACTCGGGTGTAGCCGCCGGACAGTTAGTCAACTCTAAGTCAGATAAGGTTTGCATTTGTACTAAACACGAGAGACCTGTTATTGTCAACTGAGGACAACCTAATTGGATAAAAATACAATACAATTCATTCAATATATATATATATATATATATATATTGTTATTATTCAACTTACCAGCTAATGATAGACTTTTAAGTGATCTCATTGAACACAGTGTTTGTAGACCAAAATCCCTGACCTGAGGACACCAACGTAATGAAAGATGATATAATCGGGTCATTGTGGCCACGTATCCCATTCCGATACATGTTATGTGTAGACAACTGTTCAAATTAATTAGATTTAAATTTTTAGCTTTTTCATATTAATTTTATATATTACAGTTTATATTGTACTGTTTATAGCTAACTTGTAAATAATATTAAATTTAACCATGCGTACATATACATGATTATGTTATGCTATAGTTTGACCTAGTTTTACTATCACCTGTTATACCTATATATCTGGGAACAGATTTTAAATCAAATAACGCCTACACATGTTTGAACAAGTGTGGGCTCAGAGCTTATATTGTAATAAGATATTTGATAGACTAGTTTATTATAGTTATTATTGTAACCGATTTTATATATGAAATGAATCGACAATTTTGCTATTAATAACTACATCATTGAAATACATAATACATAATGAATAAAATGCTGTACTGTTTTTGTTGTTAAGATCAAGTTATCTAAAAGCATAATATAATAATTCAAAAATACAAAAGCAATATATTATAATTAAATTTAATACTAATAATTAGTAATAATTAAATATAATAAAAATATTATTAATATTATTAATATTATATTGTTAAGAAATAATTAAGATTATGATAGAAAACTTGTAAAGCACTTGAATTTAAATTAGAATTAACTTAAATAAGTCTTATTTATACTGAACCTCAATAACAATAAAATATATAAAAATATAATTAACATATTTAGTATTGTTATATAAATTAATAAATAATATGCTATTTATATTTATTATACTGTATGTACTTAATATATTGGCTAACATTGAAAATATCACCAGATTGTAAAGCCCATAAAATAGATTTTATAAAAAACAAACTAAATATAGTGTATAATATAAATATTAATTAAAGTCATAACAAATTAGTGTTTACTAATGTTTAACAATTTAATAGTTAATATAAGATAAAAATAAAATTTCTAATAATTTGATAAACTATTGATAAAAATTTTGTTATATAACAAAAATTCAAATAAAACAGAATAAATGAAAAAAATAAAATTTATTCAAAAGACTAACCGATCGAGTATTAGATGTGTTAAAGTATCGGACAAATCACACGCAATATATTCAAGTGAGGCGTCGCTAACCCGCGGACACCACGAGAGGTCCAGATATCGTAATCCGCGGATCTGTTCGGCGATCACTTCAATGGCGTCGTCGCTCACCTTTGAATTATAATTTAATATTACATTTAATTATTACAATAATTATTTTGATATAATTTAAAGTATGAGTTATAATTATTTTTATAATAGTTTTTAAAAATATGAAGTATTAAAAATAACTTTATACTATATTATTAAAATGTTAGCTAATCTTTTTAAATATTGATTAATAAATTTTTAAAAATTTATATGATTATTAAACTTTTCAATTAAAAATCTTATCTTATTTTCAACACTAGAGTAGCTACACATATAATTTATATACAGTGTATATATATATTTGTCATATAATATAAAAGTATAGATACTACAGTACAATAGTATTATACTGTATAAGTTTTGTGATAATAATTATTTTAACAAATATAATATAAATGTATTAAACTTAAAATAATGTCAATTACATACTTTAGAACAACCCGACAGAGAGAGTGTATGTAAATTTGGAAGTCCGTGTGCGAGTGTAGCCACACCTTGATTAGACAGTTCCCAGCAATGATGTAACATTAAGACACGCAAATTCTCCCTGGCCATTGTGCTACCAAAATATGCCATTGATGTGTCAGTCACATGATATGCCTGTTTTTGACATCAATATAATTATTATATTTTATAATTTATATATTAATATTAATAAATACTTGTATTTGTAATTTCTTTAAATTTGGTAACATTTGACAAATAGCTGCAACAGTCTCGTCGGAAATGTTAATACAGTCCATAATAACCAAAATTTCAAGTTTGGGTACCAAAGCTGTCCACATAACTGAGTCAGTGATTTCATTACAGCCTAAAAATATAATAATTATTAATTTTTCTATTGTATACCATATAATATAGTAGATATAAATTATATACCATATATAATAGTAGACTCAATATGATTGATACTTTATATTATATATAAAATACTGTATATGATGTACTACTAGTGTACTGTACTAACCCGTTAATTCAAGTTTCAATAGCGATGACAAAGAGGAGAGAAGCACTTCCAGTCCTTTATCACTAATGGATGAATTACGTAGTGATACAGTCGTCAAACGATTCAAAAGTGTTGGCCTTGTTTTGGACGTGAAGTCAACGATATCACCGTCTGTGGCGCCAAACATACCAATTGAATCAAAGCTGCGAACATCGATACTATAGTAAAGATTTGCTTTGATCTCATTGATCACAAAATCAGCGCCATTTGGAAGTCCTAATTGTGGACCACATGTATTGACCACTATTTGCTGATCACTGGCAGCACTGGTCAATGACTTTTCTCGTCTTAATTCATCACAAAATAATACGGGCATTAAGTGTCGCCAAAATCGGTGATCACTATATAACAATGTTTGCCATGTCTTACAAACCTATATTTTATTGGTATTAGAAATAAGTAAATGAGTAAAACATAATTTTGAATAAAATCAAAAATATTAATTTTAAAATACTATGAAATAAAATTATAAATAAATAAATTTTGTTGTAAATTTATAGACTACCTGAGCCAATAGGCATCGTTCAATTGGAGAGAAATAAGTGAAAAATTTCATCAAAAATTTATTGTCACTCCAGAGTTCATCGATATATTTAGCCCTTTGAACATTCAATAAATAATTTTTTCTGCGGGCCCTCCATGTCTTAGGAGGTGCCTGTGGTGGTAGCAAACCATTACGTGAGCCCCTCCTGGGTGTGCCATTAGGTGTAACCTTATGATTGAATTTTGGCGATAAATTCAAATTATGACAGCTATTATTGCTTCGATTATTAACATAATTAGTTAATTGTGTTTTTCCAATCAATTGTGTCGATTCATTGATTAATGGTTTTTGATTGCCATTAATCGGTTGTTGTGAAGTGTTGTCCGCATTGTTAGCAGCAGTTGACTGTGCTTTAGATCGATTCTGGCGGACAGTTATGCCATTGAAACAACGGGATAACTCCTGTGCGGCCCTCTTCGTGAAGCTGACCTCAGCCGACATGCCGTCCGATGTTGAACTGGAACTGCTTCTCCACGCGGCCTGCAGTCCACCCAAAATGCAAGCCGTGATGACTTCTTGTGACGGCTCCACCGTTCACGCACTTGAAACACGTGTTCACCGGTTATTGATTTTATTATTTAGTTTTGTATCCGATTTGCGAGATATTAATAACTCTTAATAAGCTATTTAAACACATGTGAGTAAATTGACTAAAATATTACAGATATTACAAATACAGTTACAAATTACTAATTCTTATTAAATTAAGTTTCCAATTATTATGAAATTAATTATTTAAATATATTAATCAGTTTTCAAATTAAATAAATAAAAACTCTCTTATCTATTTTATTAAGAATTAATTATTAATTTTATTCAAGCAAAAATTATCTAGGTGAATTTTAAATGGCAAATATATTATAAACAGATGACTACCGGTGCGCAAAGTTTTTCAATTTAATTTCAAATGTTTTTTGATTTAATGTTTGAAACACTTGTTTCGACTGTTTATCTGTAAATGAAAAATAAAGACAAAACTGTTATTTAATAGATTAACTCATTTTACTGTAAGTCAATATATTGAAACCATGGAAATGTATATAAAGGTGAAAGGTTATTTTATATATAAAACATAAAAAGATATAATATATAATTTATAACTCATACAATATATTAAATAAATTAAATTGTAAACTAGTTAAAAAATATTAGACTTTTGATTTTGTCTTTTTGTTAAATAATCATAATTTCAATTAAATTATACAAATTATCAATTTTCTGGAATATTAAATATTTTAATACAATTTTCTTAAAAAAATAATTATAATAAACACGTAGTTATATAATATTAGTTATATAATAGCATATAGTACTGTAATGTTAGTTAATTACATTTTAATATAATTAGATTTTATATTACTGTATAAGTGTTTAATAGAGAACTACAGGTAATAATTATTATATATATAGAAAAGTAATGTAAGTGAACATTGGAAAGGATAAACTTGACTTAAAATTTATCATTTTTAAACATAATATATAATATAGCCATTGGCTTTTTATAACATTTAAATAATTCACTTATTAACATGATCATTTTTATGCTTATAGCTATACAGTATATGTCATATTGTAGTTATAGTATATAATAGTTTTATGCAATTCAGATTTGAAAAGTGATGAATTATACAATACAGTACATATTAGTACATAAATTATACAGAAATATATATAAGTATTAAACAATGAAAAATAGTATGTTAACATTATATGTTAACATTATATGTTAACATTATATGTTAACATTATATGTTAACATTATATGAAAAGCTAAACTAAAAAAAGCTCAAAGAAATATTTTCTATATATATAGTCCTATTAAAAACTTTATATTTTCTATATATCTGTAATGTATACTATAGTACAGTATTTTGTAGCCCCGAGAAAGTCTTAAACAGAGGCAGAGATTATAGCTGTGATGCTATTAATAAAAACTATCAGGGTAAAAATACATTGGATTTAAAAATGATCAATGTCAAAGTAGTAGATAATTTTAAACTAAATAAAGTTGTAGTTGGTCATTTTTTAATTACTAATATGATTGGTCAGATAATTTGCAGTCGACTGTTAAAAATTTTTAAATTATAAAAGTTAATATCTAATCTATATTTATGTAATAATTTAATTTAGATTAAAAATATAACAAATAACAAATCTTAAAGAAAAAATGTTATAATTAAAATAAAATAATACTTCAGTAATGAATAGTTGAATCATTTGATTTTTAATTTAAATATTTATAGTAATACTTTAGTTATATTGAATAATAACTACTTCTTACTAAAATTATTTAAAAATATGTTTTAGAATTGAGTTAATATCAAATTTTATACCATTTGTGAAGTAGTCATTTAAAAAATTGTCAATTATTTTATGTATATTTCAGATAACAATGTATTATATCATATCACTTATATTTATAAATGAATATTAAAAAAATAAATTTTAAAATTTTTGTTAAATATAGATCCATAAGTTGTGAATAATAAATTGAAACTATTTTGAGATACAAAATGCTTAACGTAACATGTTTTACATAATTTCCTATTATTTAATTCAATATTAAATATAATATAACATAAATTAGTATTGGATACTATTTCTGTTTACCTGAATATACGATATATTATGTTATTTTTGTTAACTCAATTGAAAACACATTATTGATTAAAAATTCATTCATCACAATATTTTAAGCAAATGTTAATAAAACAATATACATTTATATACAAAATACACAATTATATACCTATTTTTATTGAAACAAATATATATATATATATATGTGTGTGTGTTTAAAATAAATCAAAACATAGAAATGCTTTATATTTTGTTCAGTTAGTAAATTATTTCATTTTTATAAATTAAATAATAACTTTTAATTAAAAATGTGTAATTTTCATAATTTAAATAAAACAAATGTATAGATTGTTATTTAGATTTAATCAATGCTTAATTTCATTAAATAAACGTATACTAAACTTAACAAAATTAAATAAAGTTTACATATTAATTATATTCATTAATTTGTTATAACAAATTTTTATATTTATACTTATATATATAATAAAGTTATAAACATTTATCAATAAAAAACAAACCAATTTTGATGCACTTCAATACATTGAATATTATTTATAAATTGTATTAAACAATAGCTATGACGTTATGTGACTTAATATTATATAATAATGTACAAGCAAATCATTACCCGATCAATATCTAATACAATGAAATTGATCAAGGTCATTGATAATTACTAAATTACTATTTACATTATAAATGAAATCACTAATCAAAATTGAATATTTTTTATTTTTAAATACTTATTTTGATTTTAAAAAATAATATAATATATATTTCTATAGTTTATTAATAAAAATTAAAGACAGATTGAATAAACAATATGTGAAAATTTGTTTTGTTTACTATTATAATTAAAAATGACAAAAAGTGATATTTATAGTAACATTTTTGTTGATTAATTAGATTAGAAATATATATACAGTATATAACCATAAATACAATTCAATTATTATTTTTCTATATTCTATAACTCATTTGATATTTTTTTCTTATTCTAAAAATAGTTTTGAATTTGAGTAGTATTTGTGTAAAAATATTACTACAATATATGAGTTACTGTTTTAAAGAGATTGTTTGTATCAAATTTAGTCAATAGTATAGTATGTTTGTTATAAAAAAAATCATTTCAAAAGCAATTGTTGATTGTTTCATAAAAATATAACAGATATCATATAAATAGTATTTAATGTATAAACAAATCGATTCAATAATACTTTCATTGATTTTCTGTATTATTATTATTATTATTAATATAATACAGATATCATAATAAACAATATGTTTGTTTATAGTTGTTTTAACAATAAATGTTTATATAATGAACTATAAGTTTAATTAAGAAACTATCTTAAAACTCGATGTTAATACTATATATTAAATATCTGGTTAACCAAACTTTAAATATAAAAATGACCAATGTCATAGTTATAGATAATATTAAACTCAATAAGATTGTACTAACTTGGTCATTTTTTATTATTCGTAAAACTAACTACAACTGTACATAACAGCAATCAAATGCTAAAAAACAGTTGACTGCTATTATCTGATCATTTTTACATTTAAAGTATGATTTACCAGATATTTAATATATAGTATCAACAGTCGAAAACAGTCAAGTTTTAAAATATTTTGTTTAATTAAACTTTTATGATATAAGTATAAATTATATTTTTATTTTAAAAATATAATATATTATAGTCTAGAATATTATTATTATTATATGTTTAGTATAATTTATATGCCAGCATAAATAATATTGTATAATTTTAAATAATTATAAATTTGTTTTATTTTTGAAAAATGTTTTTAAAAACTACTGTAAATAATACTATCTTCAAATCTTTAATCAATAATTCAAAAAATACTATAATATATGATATTAATATCACTTTTAGTCATTAATTTAAAATTAGAGTTAATATATAAATGTTTTTAAATTAAATAAGAAATTGTTTACAACCATTTATTAAGCAAATTAAAAATAATAATCATAACAGTAATCTTATTAATTAGGGTTAAGAAAGGTATTGGATTTTAGAGGGGTGTAGGATAGGGGTGTAGGATAGGGGTGTAGGATAGGGGTGTAGGATAGGGGTGTAGGATAGGGGTGTAGGATAGGGGTGTAGGATAGGGGTGTACATTTTTATTAAATTTTAAACGGCACTTTTTTAAAATTACAAAATCAAGGTGGGGTCAAGTAAAAATTCCCTAAAAATTCCTTATATTCTCAAATATTCCCATATAAATGGGAGGAATTTCCAGAAAAATAAACAATATTCCAAAAAAATCTCTTATTCTTAAATTAATTAAAACTATTAAATTTTGATTAAAATTTCAAAATAATTTATAAAAAATTTTAATATTATATTCAGTTAATATTTTCAATCAATAAATTTTTTAATTGATAACAAAAATAAAATAATAATTATGCGTTTAAAAGGTAAGAATAATTTATAAAAACAGTATAATATTAAGCATATTTTATTATTATTATTATTATAAAAAAATAGATTTTAATTGTAATTTTTAAGTTAATTTTTAATATTTTAGTTTCATATCTTTAAAAAATAATGTAATTTTAGCTAGTTTACTTGTTGTATTTTACTTGATAATTTAATTTAAATAAGTTAAAAGGGGCGGGTAAAATGACCATACCCAGCCATACCTGGCCATACCCCGCCATACCATACCATTCCTTGTTTAAGACTACTTAATAATTTGTTGTATAAAATATATGATATTAAACTTAATACATATTAAAATTTATTAACTAAATATAAATTATATAATATTATTACTAATAATTACCAGAAATAATAGTTTGCTGTCCGTTAGCACAACAGTCAAGACATCGACACTTAAATATGTTTTTAAAAACAGTCTTCAATTTTATGGATCAAGTCTTGAATCTTTTGTGTCAAACTCGAGTCAGTCATTCCTCTCGATTGTGTTTTTCAATGAAACTCTTGAGGACTGACTTGAGTTTGTTTTGTCCGATCACTGGTTGTGTTTGTTTGAGATAACCATTAGATTGTTATACAGTTGTATAGTATAACACAACTATTAATCGGTTTTATTGCTGTCATTCACTGTTCAGCACTTGATGTCAATGAATATATCGATACAATCGTCTTATAATTGTTATAATTGTTGTAAACTTCAAGTTTTGTTTGTATATTAAGTTTTAAATTTTATTTAATTTAGTTTAAATCATAATATAAGTAGAGTTTAATTAATTAATTTATATTACAGTATAAACAACTAATATTGTAGTTGAAGTAAACTTATGAATATATTAATTTAATTATTAATTAGTAATTATAATATGAAAATTTAAATTTATTAAATAATATCATTTATGATATTAACTGTAAATCAACTAATTTTATTAAATATATAATTATTGAATGTTAGAGAAACACAAGCAGTTGTTCACCACAATTGTGCCGACATTTTCCATAATAACAAAGCGATGTTATGGTCTGTATGTTTGTTTGGTTAGCTCTGGTAGTTGAGAGTCCCGATCGATAAGAGCCGATCGATGCATATGTCGTGCTTTTAGAGAGTCAAACCTAACTTCAAGAGCACATGCACTGTATATACAGTGTATATAAGTTCAGTATTACAGTACAGTACTAATAATTATATATTATATTCAATATATAGTATGTTTGTGTGCTCTCTATCATAATATAACTGATTTTTCTTTCTCCTCTCCTCCTCCTCATCCCTCTCTCTCTCTCTCTCTCTCTCTCTCTCTCTCTCTCTCTCTCTTTCTCTCTCTCGTATGTTTATATATACTCTCCCAAAGTTTGGTAATTTGTGAAAAGTAGTGAGTTATGAACCAAATGTTACCATAGATGCGCAAAATGTTCAAAAATATTGTGATACTACTATAGTGGTTGTGTATAATACTGTATATTAAATCATATAAAATGATCTACTATTGCAATAACACTCATTGGGGATCAGTTTATATGTTGAACGTTAAAAAATATGTTAACAAAAGTTTTAAGGTTTTAAAATAAGTTTTCATTAAATTGAATACTTTATTCTCATTGGATAACAATAGAAATATAATGGTTTTTTATATTTAATATTTACTTTATATAGTTGTTGTAATAAAAACTTTATATTGATATTAAAAATAAAATCTAGTATACTATTTACAAATCATTTATATGATTAATTTAATCTTATATAATCATAAAAATTAAAAAATAAAAGTATTTCAAAATTCAAAATTGTCATTAAATGAAAAAAGTAATGAAATTTATAATATATTACTGTATATATATCTTTATATATATTTAAATGATGTATGAATCATACCGTATGATCTTAATATGTAATATATGATAATTCAATAAATAATTTTATGTTAAATATAATTTTTCAATGCTTTTAGTGATGTTATGGCTTTTGCTATCTATGCCCTCTCTATAAAATGATGTCAATTACAGTACAATTACTACTGTATATACTGTATTATAAATATAAATTTGAAAAATGTTTTTAATAAATGTATTCTAAATAAATCAATATTATTGTTATATTTGTTTATAACAATTATCATATAAAATATAATTACTGTAATAAAATATCAATTTATATTAGCATATATTAATAATTTAGATTTTATATTATATAACATATATTGTAATTTTGTTTACTTAAAATGTTATGATAAATATATAAAAAATTGAAAATCTTTTGACTGAAAAGCATTTATATTTTAATTATAAAATATTTAATATAGACTATAACATTATATATCACGTTTGTATTATTATTTTTTAAATGATGTACTAATGTATAATACTTCTATAACTTTCACAAACTTTTTAATTATACACATATTATCAATAAACAAAATTCCTGTTACGTGTTAGTTATACAGGTATACTATTATTAAAATATATTATGATATAATTTATAAAATATAAAATTCATGGATTAAATTAGATTGAAAATAGTAAAATAAAATTGCTATTTAGCAGATTTACTTATATAATCACAGAGCCTTACATTTCTATTTTTTTATCATAAAATAATTTATTTAAAAACTATATAATTATTTTTATTTACATTTCAGGTTAATATAATTTAGTTATTTTGACTATTTATATTTTGTTACATTTAGTTAATAATATTTAAAGTTATTAGCAAGTGTTATACTAATTATTTACTCTGATTTTAAAGATAAAAATTTATTACAAATAAAAATACAGACATATTATACAGTATAATGTTATAAAAGTGAAATTGTGACACTCGTATCACAGTTGTATCAATAGTTATAACAGTTTTTTACATCAATAGTCAATACATTAAAAACAATATTTAACATTTTGTGATATAACAAAAATGTTATATATTTTTAGATTTTTAAAAATTAATAAATAGAATAACAATTATAATATAATGATAATGTAAATATTAGTAAATAAAAAATTAATATTATTTATTAGTCTAATAAAATTTATATGTATAATTATTATATTATTTTTCAAAAAATACTGTATAATCTAATTTTAATAAAATTGACAATCCTCTGTTTATTTACATTTTTATAATAATGTCATGTAATTATAATGTAATAATATTGTACTATTAATACTATTGTATAATATATATTATTGACATATAATAAAATAAAATACGTGACTTAATTTAACTTTTCAGTATTAAGTAAATCTTATATTAAATAAATATAAAATATATATTTTTAAAAACTTTAAAATTATAATTTTAATGTGATAAAAGTTCAAATTGTTTTATTTAATTAATTTGCTATTTAAAAATAGTAGTGATAATAAAATTTATACAATTGCTAAATCATTTAACTAAATAATTAAATGTTATAGAATTGTATGAATTATAATATTAAAATAATTAAAACTATAAATATGCGATGATTTTAGTTATAATAACTGATGAAAATAAATCCTGTGATCAATAAATATATCAATTTATTTAATATCCTTTTCCGTAGTCAATGTTGAGACCACCATACGCTCCGCCGCCGTATTTATCATTGCTTTCACTTTTGTATGAATCGACCATTTGATAGCCGTCATCTTTACCTCCATAGCCACCATCATTACCACCATAACCGCCATTTCCACCATCATTACCGCCATACCCTCCACGTTCTCCTTTATGTACTTTAGTGAGCACTTCCTCTTTGACGGGTTGGATAACTTGGACAACCTTTCTGTACGGAGTAATGATTTCTCGGAGCTCCTGAATGACGGGTTTGACCACTTCATGGACGAGCTTATGTGGCTCATCGTGTGAATCTGACTTTTGATAACTGCCCTTGGTGCCACGATGTTGTTGTTTCACATATACTGGTGATGACTGGGTCTTGAATGTCAAATATACGGGAAGGACACCACCGGGAACGTCAACATAGGTTGAGTGGTCCTCCTGTTCCGAGTGAATGGGAATCACTTCGAGGTCATGCTTAGACTTAACGGGCAATTCAATGGAGTGGGAGCCTCCACCATAACCACCACCATTGCCACCGCCATAACCGCCATAACCTCTTGCACTACAAATGGCAAACAACGCCGACAATGCTATGAACTGTTTGTTTAAATAAAATACAAATAAATTAATTAAATAAAGTTAATTATAACAATAAAATCATAGTTTTTGCATACCTTAAACATTTTAATAAATATTTAAAGTTATTATATATATTTAATTTATAGAACTTAATTAAATAGTAAATTCGCTTTTAATTAATTTTATAAAATTTCTTTGTCGTATTTATACTAAATAATTAATATAAAAAATATATATATATTTACATTTTACACGCCCAAACTAGTTGCCACTGCCATAAAATCTTAAATTACATTGGTGAACTATATAATAGTCAAGTACTTAATTTTGTTTTATATTTAAAACAAATAAAATTTATGGAAAGAGAAACATAACAAACATTTATTTTTTAGGGTCGACTTTAGTTTTTAGAAAATTTAAATAAAATAAATAAATATTAAAAAAAAAATTTTATTTTATAATAGTAAACTTCTCTATAGCTTTCCTTGTATGGCTTATTGTAAAATGTTTATAATTGTTTATTAATATATTATTTATTTTTTGTTTATTTTAAATAGATACATGAACTTGATTATTACTAATTTATACAATTTTTATACATTAATTATTTATTACAATTGATTTTTTTTTTTAAATAAGTAAATAAGTTATTAAAATTAATATATAAATGTGATAATTGTAAATTATTTTTAATGTAATAATTTAGATCATGACTAAAAAATTGTAATAATACAGTTTTGCAATTTTAAAATTACATATTGATAATGGTGTTATAATTATTATTTTATAACAATTACAATTTAGTAATTATTTTATATAGAAATAGTAAATTATAAATATTACAATAATAAAATTTTTACATTTAAAACAATATTTTTAATTTAAATTATTTTTTAATTTATAAATAATTAATGTTTTAACATATTTATATAATACATAAATTTATTTTTTATGAAATATATATTTATATTTATCTAATCTTTGTAAGAAATACAAACAAAATTTTTATTTATGAAACTGATTTGTCAAACAAAATGGACAAATCATTATCGATGATTACATACCGGTATTTAAAGTCAAAAGGTTGACTATTGGGTGGTTTGTTATATATTTGTTATAAGTTATGGAATTGTATTAAAATAAAAACAATCACTAATTAAATAAGTAATTTAATATTAATAAATAATATCAGTTTAAATATCTACTTAAATAATAATATTAAATTAATAAATATATATATTATTATTAAGCATTCATTGAATGGATTATCAATTGCATTGAGTTTTGAGTTCCAATACTATTATAAATTTTTTAAAAAAATTAGAAATAGCGTTAATAAAATTATAAATATGTCATTAATACTAAATTATTAAAATTACTTAACTATAATATCATTTCTATATTCGTTTAATTTAAATTATGATACTATTATAAAAACAAATTAATTTATTAAGTTTAAAAATGATTTATAACATTGTTATTTACAATTTATAATACCGTATAATGAATATATATTATTTAATACAAGATAAATCAATTAGTAATATTACACTATTGATATAAACAAATAAAATTATACTTTAAGATAAAATATTAATTACTTATTTGATATTTAAGAGATTACTAGTTTATAAAAACAATATACAATAATCACATTTAAACTTATGTTGTATTTCATAGGAGTTCGATCACATTCCCAGTGAGTGAACTTCATTCCCCGGAAAATATGAAAAATATTTTATATTATTACAATAAATAGTACCAATATTTAAATATTTTACAAAAAAATATTTAAAAATTAATTTCAATTCAATAAACTTAGTAACACTATTTATAATAACAACTTTAAAAACAGTTTAATATAATATTTTTTTCAAACATTATAATATAATATGTGTTGTTTAGAGTAGGGAACATAAGGAACTTTTAAAAAATAAAACGAGGAGGGAATATGATCTAACTAGTGTTGGCAAAAAAGAGAAATTTATAAAATAATAGAGAAATTTCTAGAAAGTTTCTAAAAGAAATTTCTATCTATGGGATCCCCATGTTAATTTTGTTTTCTGGATATATGTTGTTATGTAACAATACATTGGTTTTATAAGTAATAATTAAATATTAATATTAATATTTTTATTATTAATTAAAATAAAAATTTATTCATTTAATTATCTTAAATTCTTATATATATATATAATAAAATGATTATTAAAATTTTAGAAAACTGATTATTATTAAATAATTATAATTATTTTACATATAGGTATCGCATTTTGTATATTAGTGTATAGTGTAATGTTATATGAATAGTAGTATTGTCTCATTATTTATATATTATTTCAATAGCTATAGATATGGGGATCCCATAGTATAACAATAAAGTTAAATTTCTATAGAAATTTATTCCTGAGAAACTTTCTCAATGAAATTTATTAGAAACTTTCTATTTGCCCATCTCTAGATCTAACCCTAGTTGTACTTAATAAACTTTTTAAAATAAAGTAACTACAGTAATAAAAAAAATTAAAAATAAAGTTATAGTATATTACCATAAATGGAAATACTTTATACACTTTACTGTATTTTTAAAAAATTTAATTTTAATAGGAAAAACTAAATTTGTATAAACATTTTATTAAAAATCTAGTATAATTTTAGCTAAATTTATTTATAAATATATTATAATATATAAAAGTTATTATTATAGTATTTAATAATAACAATAAGCTTATTAATTATAGCTATTCAACATTTAGCTAATACAATATTAGTTTTATTTTTTAAATATTATAATCTTAAATTTTATTATTTATATAAATTGTAATTTTATATTACTTAAAACTAAATTAATTTATATTTAGCAAAATAATTCAATACTCATATTTATATATATATATTTAAATAATAATTATTAAATTACTAATTATATGTTTATAACATTTGTTGTCATAAAATTTTTGACTGCAATTATCTTTAATAATCAATGCGTATAAAAATAATATTAGATTAATATTAATTTAAATATTAAGCAATTAAACTGATTTTATAATCAACTAATTTAATGTATATTAGGCTTTGTTCACATATTAGGTTCGCACTTGAGGGGAGGGGGGGTTAGCCAAAGCGAACTTTTGCGAACGAGGGGGAGGGGAGGGGTAGAGACTTTAAGAACGTTCGCATTTAGATAATATCTTATTTCTTGTGGTGGGGGGGGGTAGCGGTTAGGGATAAGCGAACGTAATTTTTTTAATGACTACATGCGAACAATTGCGAACATAGGGGAGGGATGGGGTTTAGATTTATTAAAAAGTGCGAACGTAATATGTGAACCACGCCTTATAAAAATAATAACAAAGATTTTATAACTTGCTTTTCATAATAAGATTATAACTAATTTTTCAAACTTAATATTATTGTCAAAATAATCATAACTATAAATATTGTGACAATTAATGTGACAAATGTTTTATACATATATTATATGAAAGAAGTGAGCTTTCAATGTATACCAGCAAATGCTGAATGAGATGACATTAAAGTTTGATTTAAAATATAATTTAAAATTGTTGTAATCATTATACTCTTGTTTTGAATTACATACTTAAAATTGTATACAATATTGAATTATATTATTAAATATAATTTTACTAAATTATTATATTTTAAAAAATATTTATTTAATATTTAACTGATAGTGAAGTTATAATTAAAGCATTTAATTCATCATTTTTTTAATAAACTCTCGAAAAAGACATTATAAACTCAGTTATTTAATTTTAGTCTTTAATTATAGATAATATTATTTTATGTCATTTAACAAATATAGACTATATATGTCAAACAATTAATACACATATTTAAACAGCTTTATATCAAAATCTTATTAAAAAACAAAAATCTATTTTTTTTTATAAAAATAGTTTTCAAAAATATATGTTTATTAATTTAATATTAGAAAAAATTATGATTATAAAAAAGTTTTTCTCAAAACTTATTATTTTAAACATTTAATTATTTTACTTAAATTTATTTTATTTACCAAAATAAATTGTAGTGTTATTTGAAATATATTTTTATACCAATATCAAAATAAAAGTATATACTTATCCTAAATGTATAGAAAAGTATAAAATAACGGAACAAATTAAAAATAATAAAATTTATTATTTTATTTTATTTGTTTGAAATTTGATTGACAGTAATGTTTTGATAAATACTATATACTAGTTTTGTATTATCATTTTGAATTGTTATTATTTAAAATTGTTATCATCAATCAATTTTTTCTATAACTATAGTTAAATCAAAAGTGATATGTTTATACATTTGTCTTATTTAAGTTGTTATGCTTTTTATTATAATTCTAAATAAATGCTTTATTAAATCACTTGTTTAAAAGCCCACTATATAATATACTGTAACCTAATATATTATTTATTGTATTTATAAAATTTTTTATAAATCCTAATTATATTATATCAATACAAATAGCTATATTATACAACAAAATTTAAAATTATGTAATAAATAATATCACTTATTTTCATCAACTTATAAGAAATAATATTAATAAATGTTTGCAAATTGTTTTTTTTGTCTGTTATATTTACTTATCTAATAATGTTATTTTTTAGATATAAATAAATACTGTAAATAAATAATGTAAAAACATGTTTATATTTTAGAAAATTGTGAATAAAATAAAGATACTAATACTCAAACGTTTACATATTAATTAAAATTTTAATTAAATATATTATATTTTTAAAGTAAACATCTTTATAATCATACTTTATATCATTACAGGTATTAAAGTATATTTGTTTCAAATAAATATTATTGCACTAAGTTATGTGAAAAACTAAATGGCGATAATAGATAAATGTAAAATTTACTGAATGTTAGACTAAAATAGAGGATAAATTATGCAGTTTAGTTAAAATATAAATTTGTATTTGTCGATAACATAAAATTTTATTAACAAAACAAATATTAAATGAAAACATATATTTTAGATAATGAATTAATATAATTAAAACACAGGAATTTATATTTAGTTTATTATCATTTCCTTAAAGTCTGGGTTTGAAGCTTAAAGGGATTCAAAATATGTGAAAATATATTTTATATTTTCTAATATGTATATAGAAGTTATGTAAATAAATTGACTATTTTGTAATAAAATTGACTAAACGTTATGTCTAATCACTAAACAAATACTTATATACAGATGTACAGTAGATATATATTTTTGATTTAAAATATAAATATGTTTTTTATAGTTAAGCATTTTTTGTTAAATATACAAAATAAATTATTTATAATTTGCTAAATATGCATATTTTACTTGATTTTAATGCATAATCTGCATATTTTAAAAATAATAAATAAATAGATTTTTTATTTGTAATATTTTTATATTGACTAATAGTAAAATTGTTACATTTGTTGTATTATTATTTTTGTAAATTCTCAACTTTTTGCATATAATATGATTAATTTTTTTATAGAGTATATACTGTTTATTTGCATGAAAATATTTTTTATGAATATTATTGTTATTATATGATTACTCACTACATATTGTTATCAATTAATCAAGAATTGTTTAAAACATGAAATTATAAGACTCTCTTGTTTTCTAACATAATGTATAGGAAGTAATGATAAGATTAAGTAAAATGCATATGTTTTAGAAATATATCTCATAAAAAACAATTAGTTTTGTAAACCATGAGATGCCTCCAGATATATATCAACACTAATGTTATCTCAATCTTGCATTGAATACACAAAAAATATTTTGTAATTAAAACAATGAATTTTATTTATAAAACTTTAGTTAACAAAAATACTGTATTTATACAAAATACTGTATACTTTAGTTTATTTACAATTATATTTTATTATGCTTATGAATAATTTATATCTATAAAAAAAATTTCAGTGTTTGTTTGTAATTTATTTTTAGTTTAAATTAAATTAAAATTAATGAGTCATTTAATTATATTTAAATTTGTAAAAATATATTCCAAATTAGTATGTAGTACGTTTTATTTTATAATAATTATTAAAATTTTTACAAATATAAGGAAAATAAGTAATTGTATAAACAAGTTAAAAAATATTACCAAGATTAATCATTTATCTTTTTTGATAAATAGAGTAAGTAATTGCACGCAATGTTTTGATTATTTAAAAGTAATAAATTGTAATTAAAATAATAATCGATTTTAAATTTGCATCAAAAAAATATAATTATTATAACTGTAATATAGTAATAATTATTATAATATAAACAATTTATAATTGTATATCAAATTAATAATAATCAAGTATTAAAATAAATATAAAAAAGGTTCAGGAAATGAATGTGATTTAAAATAATTTAATGTAAAGTAGTTTTTATCTCTTTATATTCAATTGAATTTATGATCTCTTTTTCTTCTTATTATTATTATATTACTTAAAGAGAATTATAAAACAAAAAAAAATTTCTTTATATTTTTTATAGTGATATTTTTTGACATCTTTTTACACTTTAAAAAACAATTAATACAAATTGTTTTAATGTAACAAATTTAAACAACAAACCTGTGGTTAGAGAGAGAGAGAGAGAGAGAGAGAGAGAGAGAAAATAAGAAAAAATATATGTAAATTAAAATAAACAATTAAAATGATTATTAAATAATTGTATTGTTTTTGTTATGCAATTTTTTGCAAAATAGACATGTTGTCTTTGTATTTTAAAAATTAAATAATGTAATTTACAATAAAATATTTAAAATAATAAAAATTAAATATATAACAAAATTGAAATAGTATTTAAAATATAAATCAATTAATAAAAAATAACAATAATTAATTAATTAATTATATGTCAAACACAAAGAGTGTGTCCGCAATTTTTTATCGGTAGTTTTTATTGTATGCAAATGTGGTTTAAACAATGGTTACTAAATATAATGCAACAGTAGTTTTGTGTCACATTAAATAATAATGATATATATATATAATGGTGGGGGCGGTGAGGGTGTGTTTGATGTACATTATAATAGTTTATGAGCTTAATAACCTTCGCCATATCCACCCAAACTCATACCTCCATAGGCACCGCCACCATAACCACCATCACCACCGTGGCCACCATCACCTCCATATCCGCCACCCATTCCTTTACCGCCATATCCTCCACCACTACCTCCATATCCTCCACCCATTCCTCCATAGCCGCCACCACCATTTCCACCATTTCCGCCATATCCAGCATTACCACCCTTTCCACCACCATATCCACCACCACTTCCTCCTCCATAGCCCTGTTTGCGCTCTCCCTTATGAACTTTGGTGAGTACTTCCTCTTTGACCGGTTTGATTACTTGGACAACCTTTCTATAAGGAGTGATCACTTCACGGACCTCTTGGATGACTGGTTTGGTGACTTCATGGACCAGTTTATGTGGTTCATCATGTGATTGTGACTGTTGATAACTGCCCTTGGTGCCACGATGTTGTTGCTTAACATACACTGGTGATGACTGGGTCTTGAATGTCAAATATACGGGAAGGACACCACCGGGAACGTCAACATAAGTCGATGACGGCTCTTCATATGATGGCACAGGGATCACTTCCATGTGATGATATGATTTTATGGGTAATTCAATTGAATGATATCCGCCACCATAGCCGCCACCTCCACCTCCACCTCCACTGCCGCCACCATAACCACCGGCGCCGCCTCCATAACTGGCAGTACAAACGCCAACAAATAATGAAAGTGCTATAAACTGTATCAAAAAATATTAATTTCTTCTAAAGTATCTTTTTATCATTTATTATTTTATCACTTAATCAGATCTTATAAAAAATTAATAAAAACACGTTAAGTGTACGTTAAATATTTTTAAATTTATTATTAAAAATGATTATGATCTACATATTATAAAATTATTTTTAAAAATATTATATTTTAAATTAAATCAAAATAAAATTAATAATCAAAAATTAATAAAACTAAATGACACAAACCTGATACATATTTAATAAATATATGAAAATTTTAAAACTTTTGTAACAAAGCTTTACATAAAATTCAATGAAAAGAAATAAATATTAAAGAAAAAAATTGATATATTTTTTCTCTCAGATATGAGAGTCAAATACGATTGTTTGAGAGATATTGATAGAGAAAGTAAAACTAACGGTTCTATATATACCTGAGATCACAACAATTCGATGTTTAATTTGATGGTAAACCGGAATAATAACCGCCCAATGAGTTCATAGTGTATTTCTCCGTTAAAAATCATTTATACAATTTGGCTCATAGTGTGGTGTCATTGGGACAGTAGGTTTAGTGGGGGAGTGGAGTTACATAAAAAGTGAAATCATGTGTTAAAGAAAGAGAGAGAAAGAGAGAGAAAGAGAGAGAAGAGAGAGAGAGAGAGAGAGAGAGAGAAAGTAGTTTCAAGACTTACTTTGCAAATGTTAGTTATTGACTCGTTTTTTAATTTTAATTTAAACTTTCTCCTCTCTATTTTACTATTAAGTTATTATTATTACTTCATAATAATTTAAATAAAAATTTATCAAATTTTTCTTATTGAGAACATACAGGTATACATACGGTATAAATAACAATTTAAGCTAATAATATAAATTAATATAAATGCATGCATAATTTTTAATTAAATAATTTTTAATGTAGTAATAATTAGATTAGATTTGTTGAAAAGGAACAAGTGAAAGTTTTGTTTTAAATAGTTATATTCTCCATAGGGGACAGTTAGCATATTCAAGGAACAGGAGATGATTATAATTTTATGGGAATAGCCTAACTGTTTGGCCGAAAGGGGAAAGCCTGACTTATTTTTTTGCTTACGGTTGCACTACATTGTGTATTATATAATAAACACAGAGTATAACTGATTACTTGTTAGTCTATACAATGTTTTTTTATTAAATTATTATAATAATTGTAAAAAGTAATTATAATAAACATTACATTACATTAGATTACTGTATATTTTTTTGCCGGTTCTTTTCACAAACTGGAACACAATTCTACATATAATAAAAATGTTTTATTATTTTTATGATTTATTTTATTAATTTAGTATTTATTTTTTCAAAATGTAACAAAACTTATTAAAAACTAAATAAAATATTTTAAAATATTGACCATGTTAAAACAATACTATAACATTGTTTACTATAAATCTAAATATATTTAAACCCCATTTTGTTTAAATTAATTATAATAATTAGATTATTAAATAAATATTTTTATCTGTTTTACAGTTCAATGAGTCAATCTGTTTATAAGATTACTAAAGACTTAAGTTAAGACAAATTGTTTTGATGTAATATATAGTTATTTAATAATATTTAAATAGTTAATAAACAAATACAAACAAATTAATGTGAATTACACACACAAATCTTAATCTAATAAAACGATTTTGAATTTCATATAAAATTGTTTATTTATAGCAAAATATTGTTTATAATGTCTATTTAATTACATAAGCTGTCTAGACATAAGACAGTATACATATTGTAAATAACATAAATAGTTACTACACCTGTGCCTTAGGCCAGGTATGATATGTATTAGATTATGTTATATTTGGATTTTGCTCACTCATTATGCTATAGTCACACAAACACATCTGCCATCATATTGTTTAAGATATTATATAATGTTATTTAATTCAAAGATAATTATCTTAATTTTTTATACAATTTTATTTGACTTCCTCTCTAAATCAATGGTATTTTATACATAACATTATTTGTAATATTATGAGACCATATAATTATATACTGTAAAGATATGATGGCTAACCCTCTTATTTAATTGTTGTTTATATAAGGCTATTAGAGCAATGAAAACATCATTAAAATATATAACATATTGTCATATAGTAATTATCATTTTTAAAAATTATCACAAATTTATATTTTCTGTTGTTTTTCAGTATATAGTATATAATAACTATAATATATACTGTATTATATTGATTATAATGATCATTAACAATAGTCAAGTTTTTAATTATTATATAATAATAAATTTGCATTTTACAATGTAATCAGAAGTAGCTTTTAATATAATATTGAGGCATAATAAAAAAGTAAAAATTAATTTTTTATTATTATGTGTAAATTTGAATAATTATAATTATTAAACAACTGTATTTTTTAATTATTTGCTATTGAATTTATAAAATATGAGTTTTTGATGCATTTTACATGTTTATAATTTGAATACAATTACAATTTGATAGTAATAAATAAACATTAAGTTAAGGATATATGATTAATTGTAAGTTTATAAGTCACTCAAAATCATATTAAATTCTTTATAATTATAATGATTTTATATAAATTATTATAATAATGTAGATTTTGATTTAGCATTAAACAGTTAAAAATATTTTACACTTAATTGAATTTATCGTTATCTTAATTATAATCAATTAATAAGTAATATGCATAAATAACAATTTTTAAAATTAATAAAAACTAAAATTCATATGAATTAGAAATTTATTAATTTAATTCAATAAATAATTGTCATTCAATTTCCTTAAATTAATATATTTTATTAAAAATCTAAAATAAATTATCATGGTTAAAAACTAATGAAAAATAGAGTTTTTACTAAAACTGTAGGTCAAAACCAAATAAGTTTGCAAATATTGTTGACACCATTAGTAAAATGATTAGGAAATCTAGTTTTTTTACCAAAAAAAATATGAGTTATCTCTATTAGAAAATCGTGATCTAAAATATTGGATATTTTTTTATTTTTGTTTAACAGAATCGACACGTTTTTGTTTTCCAATACATTAACTAAAAAAGAAGTTCATATATAAGTAATAATAAGTATATTGTATTGTGTTTTATATTACAAAAGTGGTGTTTTATATATTAAATTGATGTATAAATTAAATTATAATCATAATCTAAACTAAACTGACTGTAACTTAAGGCACTATATGTTTGATACAATACATGGACAATACATATAATTTATTGACACTTAAGATATGATAATATATGATTATAATAATGAATTTTATTATAATGTATTCATACATTTACAGTAAAAATAAAATAATAGTAATGTTTTAAATTTTACTTTTTTATAGCAAACATTGTATGTAACAAATAAAAATAAAATATTTAGTCTTTTTGAAATTTATTTACTTGCAAATAATAACTTAAATTATTTTTTTTATTTACATTAAATATTATTTATTTATATTATAATTTTTTTTAAATATAAATATTTGAAATGTTTTCAATAATTTTTTATTATATTTAAAACTATATATTTTATTTAAAAAAAACCTTATGTATACTTTGTGTAATTGTCTACTAAACACAAAGTTTAATAAGTTAAATATTATAAATTATTGATTTAAAAAATAATATAAAATGATTTATTTAATTTCTAAGCTATTTGCAATGTATTAATAATTAATTATTAATAAACGTTTAATTTTACATTTTTATATTTGTGTATAGATTTAGATACTGTTATTAGATTTATGTAATGATAAAAATCTTAATTAATTATTTTTAAATATTAATATAAATTTAATCTATCTGTTATTTTTAACGTAAATTATAATTATTATTGGTGTAAAAAAGATTATCAGATACAATTTATTATAAATAAAATTATTAAATTTACAATTAATTTTATTTGTGTTTTTAACAAATTATTTAATTATAATGTCAAAAATTATAACAAAAAATTGTTTTATTGTATTAAATATTTTTTTTAATTATAAAAAAACTTTAGTAAATAATGATAAATCAAATAAAATTTATTTACATATCCTATGAATAAAAAAATATTTAACACATTTTAACTTTAAAGAAATGTAAATAAAAGGCTAACAAAATTTACTTGAGATATAACTCAAAATTCAAACATGTTTTTATATTTTAAATGCTGTTTTGACATTATTATTGTTACTGTTAAGTGAAAACACTTGAAATTTTTAAAAAATTGGCAAAAAATAAATAACAATTAAAATCATCAAAGAAACATTAAAAATTGATTAAACAAATAATAAATAAGTAAAAATATTTTATACATTAGTTTGTTTTATTGGAGTTCAAGTTCATTGAAAAATTATCTAATATAGTATTTATTTATTATTTTTAATGAAAATTTATGTTGAAAATGTTAATAAATATGAAATTTAAATACAAAATATTAAAAATTATATTTTATTAAAATTACTTAATAATAAATAAAATTTAGTTTTATATTAACGAATTGTATTAATTTTTAAAAATATTTTGTAATACATATGCAAAAATTTTAAATAATTTTAAATTTCATTTCAAGCTGTATTATATTGTATGTTTTATATGAAATATAAAATTAATTATAAGAAATTTTTATTTTTCAAATCAAATAAAAATTTGTGACAGTTATTGTAGCCTCAGTAAAATAAATAAAAAATATTTGAAAATAAATTATATTTAAATAAATTTTGTTAAATTTCCTTGTAAGTAATGACATTTTTAAATACATTTATTTTAAATAATAATTAACAAAAATTAAAAAGAGGTTGACAGCATAAAATTTTTATATTAAAAGTTTGCTAACAATAGTTTATTGATACAAATACTGAAAACAAAACTAATTTATATAAACATGTTTTATAATATCGGATAAATTTAAAATGACATTTAAATATGACATTAAATGAATTTTATAGCATAAAAATTAGTTTTATATATTAATTAAATTCAATAATATTGTAGATATAACTAATGTGTTAAACATTTAGGATTTTATGAATTTTATAAATAATATTATAATTTATTTTAAAAACAAAATAATTTAAGTTTAATAAAATACAAATATATTTCTATAATTTAGTATAAAAAAATAAATAAAAATTAAAATCTAAATTTATTTATATTGTTTATGACGTTTAAAAAGTAAAAATAATTATATTTATTACATACTGTACTGTACTGTACTGTACATTATACTAAATTAAGTA